AGGAGAAGCTACAACGGTTTCCAGTAGCGGAAAGGAATGTGAGATATTTAAGTGACAAGACTGCTAATGCTTAGTGACCAATTAGATATGGAATGTTACGGATAGAGACAAATTAGAGGTAACTCAGAAATGATCGGTTCCTATAGAAGCTGAGTATTACTGTCTTAGTTACTTTCTCATTGCTCTGACACCCACAAGTTAAAGGAGGAAAAGTTTATCTTAGCTCACGGTTTGTAGAAGTTTCAATCCCGAGCCGGCTAGCTCCAAGGCAGGAGAGCATGACGGAGGAACAAGGAAGAGGAGAAACTGTCCAGGGCAGGGCAGGCACAAAACAGCAAGCAATGAGTCTTTCCTTCCCTCTTATTCCAGTATGGCTCTAAGGCTCCTGGCTGGTGCCACCCACACCCCGGGTGGATGCCTTCTGACTTCAGGAAATCCAGTCAGCCATACACAGAACTCTGTTAAGCCAATCAGTGGGCTAATCCAGTTCTACACACCCAGTCACTCCCCAAGGCCCACCTATGAGTGCACGAGGCTTTGTGGAAACATCTAGATGTAAACCACCACACAAGAGACCCTGGGGGAGGGCTGTCTAGTAAGTAGTAAAAAACAGGAAGCTAGAGCTGTGAAGAGACCTGTACTGGAGCTATAGGTTCCTGTATACGAGGGCACTGAAGCCACACGAGTGGCCAAGAGGTCATCGAAAAAGTGGAGCAAGTGGAAAAGTCTTTGGTATTCAAATATTAAGATCAGCCACAGCGTAAGGGCCTAAGAAAGCAAGTAAGTGAACCATGAGGGATGGCACTGTCCTCTGTTTCTCCCCAAAGGCACAAGTGTGTCCCAAAAGGCAGCAGGAACATGCCACCAGCCCGGGCAACAAGCAAGAACCTGTCTCAGCCCCCCACTGGCTTCTTACCAAACAAGACTAAAAACTAAGTACCACCCTAGCCTGCCACACCCCGCGAGACCTTTCTTCCGCCTGCCTCTGCAACCACTCATACTTCTCTCATGGAAGCCACAGCAAACACCCTAACAAAAATAGTCATAATCACCCTTGTGATCATTCCTAATCCATCTCTTGCTTTACTTTACTAGTTTTACTCGATGTGTATTTGCTTATGTGTCTAGTAGATTCCCCAGTAGACAGATTTTATGCCAATAGAATATAAATTCCATGCCGGCAAAAACTTGACTTTGTTCACTGCTGTACTCCAGCACCTAGGACAGTGTCTGACATATTGTAGTACTCAAGAAAGACTGGTTGGAGGGAGCCCTTCATCATTTTTTTTTTTTTTTTCCGGAACTGAGGATTGAACTCAGGCCCTCGTGCTTGCCAGGGAGGCACTTACTCCACTGAGCCATCTCCCCGGCCCCCACCCTTCATCAGTTTGAGCCTCTTAGTTGTGTCATGTGTAAGTATGGACATAATTTCCATCTCCTCTGTTTACTTTTCATACCAGAATTGAAATCTTGTGTGAAAATACTTCATAAACTATAAAACCATTGAACAACAGACATGGTGCTAGTCAGGAAAAATGTGCTTTGACAAGGTAGAAGACAGCTGTGGAAATACAGTTTGTTGAAATGTACTCATATACTGTATAGGCATAAATATATATATATATATGCATAAATATTTCATAATAGCCTAGAGCCTAAATTTTAAGTTCATAGTTGTTGATTCCATTTTTCTTTATAATAAAAAATATACTTATCCAAGAATAGAATTTCCAAACACCTAAAATAAAGGATGTTACTCAGTATTAACCTCTTTAGGAAACAAAGTAGAATGGACATTAGGTTAGACAACATAATAAGCCACAGAAATAATATAACTTCAGAAAAAAAAAATAAATAAAAAGATTAAACAGTGTCCTGGGCTGAACAGTGCCTCCTGTAAACTTCTATGTTGGAGACCTAATCCCAAGGCCTGAGAATGTGACTGAATTTAAAGATAGGGTTTTTAAAGAGGTAATTACGTTAAAATAAGGACATTATTCCGGGACTTAATGACTGGTGTCCTTATAAAATAAGACAGACACATGCAGAAGATTGGGTGAGAAATACAAAGGAGCTATCTACAAACCAAAAGAAGAGGCCTCAGAAAAAGCAACCTAGAACTGAGACTTTCAGCCTCCAGAACTTGGAGAAACACATTCTGCTTAATCTATCAAGACTGTGGTACATCATTATGAGAGCTTAACAGACTAATACTTAGTTTTTCTAATAGCCAGTAGGGGGAAAAAAAAAGAACAAAACTATTTCGAAAAAAGAAAGAAAGAAAAAAAAAAAAAACTCTTTGGAAAAGGACTCCACAAAAGAACATTGGAGTTGTCAAACTCTTACATCAATCCAACTGTCTCACACACCTCCAGAAGAAGCCATCCTCTCACAAAGTAGTTAGAGAAGGTTTCACCTGGCTCACAGGACAGAAGCTAAGTACTAACATTCTTTTCTGAATTCAGCCCATAACGGATTCCATTTTCTTTATTAGTCAAAGCACAGTTTAACAGGCATTTGCAACAGGGTCTACGGATGACTGAAGTCTCACATGTCCTCCGCAGGTCCACACGGTGAGCCCTGTCTGTGGTCTACTGGGAGCTGGGGAACTTATGGAGTCCAGTGGAACACAGTGAGGTCACGGGGTCCTATTCAGTGTTCGTGACAGGACACTGACTGTGCTGCCTCTCTGGTCTGTTTCGCTGCTTCCTGGACACCATGAGGTGTGCAGACTTGTTCTGCCTAATCCCCGCCAAGGTGCTCCGCTTTGCCTCAGGCTCAGAGCAGAGCTAACTGGCCATGGGCAGAAGCTCCGATGCTGTGAGCACAAGTAATCCTTTCTCCTTCCACAGGTACCTCAGACATTTTGTTAAAGTGATGGAAAGCTGACTCGCACAATGACTAAGGCAGCGCATCCCAACTTCCAAGGAAAAGATCCATTAAAAATTAAATCAATATGTGTGACTATGAATCACCCCACATCCAGACTCTCGTAAAGAAAGGTACACTGGAGCCTAGAGGGTACAACCTCCGAACATAAAACACCGAAGGGGGGAACAGACCTGATAGGATGCTTCCTTTCCAGTTCTTGACTTACTTTATGAACCCAAACCCCAGATTCAGAACACAGCTGACTTATGTGGAGCACGTGACATCCATCACTCACAGGTAAGGCTTGGATTGTTCACGTGCATCTTATTTGTCCTGTAAACTTACATGAAATTTACTTACTAAAATCCTCACTTCCTGCACTACCCTGAATACCACCTGTTAGCTACCACTGGCATTAACTTCCTTTTCATTTTACTAGCAGTTTTTATAAATATTTCTATGTTTCTTTAAAATGTCTACTTTTCATTCTATAGTACATATAACATAAAACTTGCCATCATAACCATTTTAAAGTGTACAGCTTAATCATCTTAAATACTCACAGTTTAATTTGACAGAGGACTTTTCACCTTGAAAAAGTGAAATTCCATGTCCTTTAAACAACTGTTTTCCCCTCTCCTCCCCTGTTACTGGCAACTACCATTCTACCTTCTGTTTGTCTGAACTTGGCCACTCCAGACACCTCATGGAAGTGAAATTATAAAATACTTGTCTTTGTGACCAACTCATTTCCTTACTATAATGTTCTCAAGGTTCATCCACATTATATAGCATGTGTCAGATGCTCTTTCTTTTTACAGGCTGAAGAATATTCCACTGTGTATAGAGACATTTTGTTTAGCCATTCATCTACCTATGGGCACACAGGTTTCTTCTACCTCTTTGGTAGTATGAAAATGCTGCTATAAACGTGAGTGTACAAATAACTCTTTAAGACCCTGTTTCAAACTTTTTTAGATATATACCCTAAAGTGGGATTTGTCTTCTACTTTAATTACTGGCAAAGTTAACATCATGCCTATACATTTTTTTTTTTTTTTTTTTGCGGAACTGGGGATTGAACTCAGGCCACTGCGCTTGCCAGCCAAGTGCTTATTCCACTGAGCCATCTCCCCGGCCCCAGCACAATAGTCATTTCTTTTTTTTTTCTTTTTGCAGCACCAGGGATTGAACTCAGGCTCTTGCACTTGCCAGGCAAGCGCTTATTCTACCGAGTTATCTCCTCGGCCCACATGCCTATAAATTTATATTTTAAATTTGGTATGAAATGGGTAGAGTTAGGGCTCACAAGATAACTCAGCAGATTAAGCACCTGCCTAGGCAAGCTCAGGGAGCGGGGTTTGATCCTCAGCACCACATGTCAAGCCAGCCCCGCCCTAGGCATACTGAGCCAGCCAACAAGACCGGGAATGGTGGTGCATGCCTGTAACGCCGGCACTGGGAAAGCTGAAAACAGGGGAATTACTGTAAGTCTGCACTCCATAGTAAGACCCTGTACCAAATACATTTAAAATAATAATAAAAAAAATAAAATAAATACAGTGGGTAGAACTGAAAACCAGATATATAGGAGGCAAAAACAAAATGTTCTTATGCCATAAACAAATAAATGATCACTTATTGAAATAACAAATTGAAAGTACAGGTAGTTCCTTTTATGTTTTTGATGGAAGTATATCCTCTTAAGACTAAATAAATCTAGGAACTCATTCCAGAAAACAATTCACACAGAAACTTGCAACCAGAGGTAAGCACACAGTCGCGGGAGATCTGGGGCCCCTAAGTCCATCTGAGGACACCGCTTCCTAAAGCACACACACTCTGTAAGGCCAGATACAGGGTCATGAAATCCCAGCGAATACTATCCAGACTCAGAGGGCTATATGATTTGGATGTACCATGAATAATGAATCCAATGTACCTTAAGTTCCACTAAAAGCTGTCTCTATAACCATTAAATCTCTAACTCATAAATAATGAAGTTCCTTCTTTTTTTGTTGAGACCCTAAAGACTATGTACTTAATAATGATTAACAAGAAAACAACGGAAGAAGTAAGTGAAAATTCAGTTCAAAAATTAGTAAGTATGACGAAGGAATTTAACTCACAAAATCTGTTTCCAGTTTTCCCATTTCTTGCTTGTAGCTTCTCATTCTGTTGCTGTACATTCCTCGACTTTGGGGGGGTATCTCTCGGACTTCCAAGTCCATCTGTTCAAGCTAGAAGGTAGAGAAAAAGCATGATTTAAACCATATGCTTGTTCTTTATTTGACAAACACTTAGAGCTGAACACATTTAGTTCCAAATCCTCATTTTACAGCTGAAGAATCAGGCACAAAGTGCTGACTGCCCAAGATTAAATGACAGTGAAACAACTTCTGCGCTTAACTTCTGTTCCATTCAATGAGTGACATGCCAAGTGCAAAGCCGCTTACCTTGTTAGGACTTTCTATCAAACTTATACGTTAGTTCAAATATTTTCAATAATTTGATTTCAAAAAACTTGAAATAGCTCACTCAGTCCAGTCTGTCTACTCTTCTTACCATTAGCCTTCAGAATGATGGGAAGATAAGCCAAATCATTACTGCCCGTGAGTAATACATGCCACACCAGCCCCGGGAGCCAACACATGCTATCAACCTCCAGTCTAACTACACTTTATAACCACACCGACAAGGAGTATATGGATTCAATACTATGTTAGATCACACATAATTTATTGAAATCACAGTGGGGCACTTTTTAGCAACTGTCATGATATAACACAAGAGAGTTCAAGAGGTGGCAACGGAGACATACTACAACAGTTCAGAACATGGTCTTTGTAGTGAGACACCGGTGTGCACATCATGAACCCCACCACTTAATAGGCCTAGAAATTGAACAGGGTTCTTTCTCATCTCTCTGCCTTAGTCTCCTCATTTTTAAATGAGTAGTTCCTTCCTAGGGCAGCTGTAAAGATTAAATGAAGGGATTCTTGTAATATTCTTT